AATCACCTTTGTGGAACGGAGAAAATATCTGTTAATGTGCTTCTAGATTACTATATAAAAACATCAAAAAATCATCGGAAGTTTTACGAATCTTCAAGAACGGGATGAAAAAATAAAACAAATTACTCATTTATACAACATTTCGGCTTTTTTTACATCAAACCAAAGTATAAACCATTTTGGCCTAATGTAAGCTATGGAAACTAAAAAAATGTCTCCAATGCCATCTCCCGAAACAATAGTTATATGGAGTCAAGAGTTTTGAATCATTTGATTATGAGTATTTTCAGGCGTGTATTCATTTATTATATTTGTACTTATTCTTAGAGTAGAATATTTTAGCCTATAGCGTAAAAAGGAAATAATTATACTCTTAATTTCAGTTTTATTTTAATCAAAATATATATAGGTAGAAAATGAACGTAACTCAAAAATAAACTCGAGGCGTTCAAAAGTCGTATTATTCGACATCGCCACTTCCAAAATAATGGTGAGAACCTTTTTTTTTTTACCAGATTATGAACCTTTTTTTTTTTGTTAAAGTACCAGATTGTGAACTTAAGAACACTTTATTCAGGAAATAGTATTGATTTGCCATAGAAATTTTTTTTCTCATAGTTTTAGATTTGTGTTATCCACTTTAGTTTCTTTTAAATTCAAGTCTTAATCGTTGTTTTTACTCGTTTTTAGACAATGTTTACTCTTCTTTTTTTTTTAAGCATACACACAATGTTTACTTCATGTATTAAATAAATAATTAAATTTATAGTTATAGTTTTGGCGTTTGTTTCTAAAATAGATTGTATGAATTTCTAAGTTAGGGTTTCATTTTCAGGGATATAGTATTATGTCGCCGGGTTAGTTTATAGGCTTGGCGTCACTGTACTCTGGCTTTGTATTTGTCCAAAATTTTATAAAATAGTATTTCAGATGGAAAAAATTGTATACATTCACTGTTTATTTTCTTGTTTTAATAATCATTATATATAAATGATAAGAACATGCTTAATGGTAAAGTCTCTTAAATGGGGTTTTAAACTAAAAAATATTA